AAATAATCCGAGGACATCTTAAAATAAGCGCCAGACATTTTGAAATACTCGCCAGACGTCTTGAAATAACGGTCAGCAACTTGAAATGATTCCCGGACATTTTGAAATAATCCGAGGACAGCTTGATATGATATTGGGACAAGTTGACTTGCAAGAGGTATGGTTTGTTATTCTGTTCAATGTATGAAAATCGTGGAACAGAGTGGAACGGGTTATTCCCGTAGTCACAAACGGAGAGTGATGAGCAATATTCCCGAGAAAGCCAATTTGTCGATTCCGTGTTTTCACCCCGATGATTGTAGGAAAGAGGAAATGCAGAATGACAGAAAGAAAGGCGGTATTGCAGAGCCTAACAGTTCTCGAGAAACAAATTGGGAAATGCGTAGATTTAGGACAATCACTTGACAACTATGACTATCGCTGTGTTTGTGTGTGCGGACTAGGAAATGAACATAATGGGATTAGACAAAGTAGACATGAACTTCTACAAACAGAAGCCACGTTGGTTGCGATCAAAATAGAAGTGATGAACGAATATCAGAGGCGAAATAATAACTGCATTGAGAAAGTTAAAAATGAATCACAGATAAGATCGATAGACTCAAAATGAATACAACCAAGCGGAAATGGGGTAGATAGCAACCAACTAGCGACTGCCTCGTACCACTTTGGGGTGCGTTCGAGCTTTGCATAATTCTAATAGTTGAAGAAGCGTCTAGCAGGAAAACATCGCTAGATCATCTCACCAGTGAAACTTTGTGCCATACTAAACTGAGCGCCACTGAGATATCCACAGATGCCCGGTGTGATTGACTGTGGATATTTGTTGCAGAGCACCGGATGTGAGATAGGCACACCATAGAAAATCACCTAGATCCCTAGATCTATGGCATCAAAACTCCTACTGACGATCACTTATGAGTGTATGAAATTCCAATTGCAATAGCACTCTAGTGAGTGTGAATAAAGAGGGATTGGATGAGAGAATGGCTTGGACCGTTGCCATTGGTTGAATGCATTTTTCTTTTAAATCCCAACACGAATACATGTGTGGGTGAACTATTCCGAGGGACTCTGACTGATTCGGATCGGAGAAATGAGTGACAAGTTTGCGCATAGGTTGCAATGAGACATCGCGTATGAGGGAGATGGAGACATGACTGCCGGAAGTGAAATGACATAAATCATGTGATGTGTAGCACGTCAAAAGGTTGCATATCGAAATTTTGTTTGCAGAATAATAACAGTGGAAAGGCGTCCAGAGAAAACGATGAGATTTGAAGATGATACACTAATTGGAGGAGATGATGAGCCGAAAGATGAAGATCGAGCAATATGTGAATACTGAAGAGAGTCTAACATGAGAGATAGACCAGTTTGTGTGCACATTCATCAAGACTATGGGAAACCGAGCAGGGATGTGAAACGTGAGAGCAATGTTGTATGATGGTAGACGATTCAATTTCTCGTTTCAGAAATATCACCCGGAAAGTGCTCGAGCCATGCAAGGTTGAGCACGTTGCACTCTGTAATGATTAGCTATAGTACAATGTTTGTCGTAATTAGGTAACTGCGTGATGAATCACGATAGCGTAGTTGATGAAATGATCACCCGCATTTCAAGACTCGAGCAGCTTACGCTGGACTGAAACACCTTTGGTGCAGACGCGATGTTTCGTAGAAACTGAAAGGTTGTGTATATTGCCGCAGTGTGAGGTCAGTTTTGCTTTATGGTTGCGGGACCCTAAATTTGCGCCTGGAAGATATTCGTCGTCTAGAAGTCTTCGACTGCAGATGTTTATGTAGTTTGGCGCAGGTCGGATATAGCGAATGTGTAAGCAACTCTGAAGTAAGGCGTCGCGTATTTGGTATTGATTCGATGACGAACTCCTTCTCCCATCGAATTCAGATTGGTCGGCTTCGCTGTTTAGGACACGTATTGCGCATGCCAAGCCATCTACCTCACCGTGCCTTATTCGCAGTTGCGGCTCCTGATTGGAAGAAGCCACTTCGAAGTCAACGGATGACGTGGAAACGAGGCATGAAGAAATACACTGAACGATTGGGTAGAATAGGTGTCTCCCGTCGTCCACGGTGGGGTCCAAAAGAATCTACAACTGGTTGACTGGAGACACTGAAGGATATGGCAACGAACCGACAGCAGTGACGTTCTTCTTGTCATTTCTTTTTAAGTCAATGTGCTTGAAAAGGTATGTATGCACACTTAGATTGTAGAATCTGTGAG